ATCTATACAACACTGCGGATTTCTTCACACAAACGCTTAAATCCGTTCAAATGCATCTACAAGGAAGAACAAATTAAAGAAAATCAATTAACAGAGTTATTCCACAACACAAAAATACAAATAACTGACAACAGAGTAAAAGAATTCTCACAAAAAATTCAAGCCTCCGTAATCTTCACAACCGCCCTCCGACGATTACAAACGAGACGGCATCGATAGAGCAAATTAGGGAGCAAAATTCGCTCAGAAATCAAATCCACACCGAATTTCTTGAACTAAAAATTCCCGAATGTATCCGTGAAAAAAAAAATTAAACAAAAAAGAAAATCCAAGTCTCTTTAATCAACCCTTCAGATGGATCAATTGCAGAGGACGGAGAAAAATTGAAGCACGGAGCGAAATTGTTCCACCCGCAAGCTTATCTACAAATGACAGATCCTCGGCATTCTGGACTAGAATTGAGAACACTAAGCTTCGTCCTCGATTAAAAAACAATAACGAGAGATTAAGAACAAAAGGGAAAAGCTTCAAAGGAGCGCCACAAGAACAGCAGAGAGCTTCTTCTTCTTCTTCTTCTTCTTCCTGTTCGTCCCCTCGTTTTACCACAAATACAAAACACACCCTTCCCCCCCGTCCTAGATGAATCGGAAATTTATACCCTCAATTACAGATTGAATCAATATCCCACGCCCGTGATTTCTCCCCCGTTCATCACACAAATCAAACGACTCTCCTTCCATCTCCCAATCCTTCCACCTTTACGACGTCGTCTTGCCTTCCCTTCACCATTTTTTCTCTCACGGCCTTTTTTTAACGCCAAACGGAATCTTCAACGTCGTCAATTCTTTTATTTTTTTTTCGGGTCGGTCCGACAGCCCATCCGTAGCGTCCGGTTCCACAGTTAACCGTGGTTAATTATCTAACCATGGTGGACGGATGAAGGAGATGGCATCCAGTACGACCCCGTCCATCTTCCGATATGTGTGCTGGACAAATCTCAACCCACTTGCCAATTAAATATATTTTGAATTTTTGCCATTCAAATTAAATTAATCACATTATTTTACGCAATTTAAATAAATACCTCAAATAAAATTGGAATTATTTAAATATATACTCGAAGTGGTAAGGACATTTCTGTAATTGTACACATTAAATTTCTAAATAAGATGTGGATGAAATATGAACCATGGAAATTATCTCGAAAATTTGTTGTCATTTTCCATAATTAACCTCCGCAACATATTCCATTTGACAACAAATTTTTGTATCTAAAATTATAAATAAAAAGTATATTCTATTGATCCTTCTACTTTTGTAATTTTCTGATTCTGACCACATATTTATTACAATAAAGAAACCATTATTTCACCATCACTCCCTTCAATAAAGCCTGCAGCCTTAAGTACTCTCCCGGACATGGCCGTACCGACGGCGGAGAACGACGGCTCTAACTTGTACGGATCCCGGAGTTTCACCCACATAGCTGTCTGTTGAGTTACATTTTCAATTTTCCCACTGGCGTTTGTTTTGTAAGAAGTGACACACGACGGTGCGGTCGTCGAGTTTGGAAGCGGGGTAGCGTTTCCAAGCCTCAGTCGCCGCCTCCACCACCGCTTTCGCCGCCGCTTCTTCGCTCTCCGCTTTCGACACGATCGACGCTACTTCATCGTTGCTCAGCACGTCCCATATCTGAAAAAGTTCAAAACCCGACATGTTTAAAACATAGTACATTTGTCACGAGAAGGATATTGACTTTTTTTGTGCACGTTCTTATAAACAATGATTAGTTACACTCTACAACTGCACAATCCAACCCTTGGGACCAGTGTCATTAATTGTATCCCTCTAAGCCTAACTTGAACGGATTATACATTTTGGACTTTCGCTCACGTGTCCTCTCGTGATTTTAGTAAGATAAGATTTTCAGACCCTTATAAAGAATGGTTGGTTGACCTCTTACACTAAACTAAACGGGACATAGTAGGTGGATTACCCCATCAGTGGCGAGCACGATGAAGTGGTCGTCGGGAGCGAGACGGCGGTAGGAGACATCGGGAAGAGCAATAATGCCATGTTCTTTAAGAGCAAAGTCCCCAAAAGCTCTGGACATGGCCAGCCCCGGCGCGTCCTCCTTCGGCAGCCACACTCTCTGTATATGCGGCTCTTCTTGTAAAGCCAACACTCTCCCATTACACTTCCTTATCCGCTCAGCTTCATCTACAAGAACACACAAAATCTGCTTTAATTAACAACAAAAATATGACTATTAATCTTTAATTTCCGACATCTTACCCGGCAAACCAGGCTTCAAATCAGTCGTTAATTGAACGGCCTCGATGCCATTCTCCGTCACCCTCCCCATCACAGCCCTCGAATCCCCCAAATTCGCAATCACCAAATCTTCTCCCTGTTTTGAAGAACACCCATTACTCAAAACACAATTTTTTGCAAAACCCATGTTTTTTTTTGTCGGAATTTTGGTTCTAAATGATATTTCACCTGTTTGAGAATGATAACAGCGGTGGTTCCACTAAAAGAACAGTCCAAATTCTCTTGAAGTTTGATCTCTTTGTCCATCACCTTGAAGGCAGTGACCATAGCTTCTTTCCACCCAACAAAATCAGTCTCAGCTTTTGACATAGCGCTTAGCAACAGCGGCGGCAGTCTACTCTTCGCCATGTTGCTGACAGTATGACCATTTGTTCCATGCCCATCGAACACTCCGAACAGAGCCCTGCCCTGTTCGCCGTACTCCTAATAGAAACAACCAAAGCAACGTAAATTCAAAAGCTTAAACGAATGGGTTAAGCTCAAGAGATGGAAGAGTTAGCTTACCTGATAGACAAAGGCAGCATCTTGATTGATCCCTTTGTTGCCTTGCTTGGAACACACGGAATCGGATCTCTGTTCTTCAAAAGCAAGCTCGTTTGCTGCACAAATCGCCGTAACTTTAGTTTCATGGCGAATCTGAGAAGATGCAGCGGATATGCAGATTCCCATTTTCAACTCCCAGAGAGAGAGAGAGAGAGAGGGAAAAAAATTAATATAACGCAAAGTTATTGATAGAAGTTGAAGAAGCAACCTCCCTTTTAACAAGAATTCAATGACCCCACGAGTAGATTAGCTCAATAAACTCTCATATTATATTCCCTTCCACCTATACTTTCAATTTTGTATCTTATTAAACATAAATTTTTATTAGGTTTTACGAGCTAAAATAATAATTTAATTTTTTAGATTGTACGTTCATAATTTAATAGAAACGTACGATTTTTAGATACCCCAAGACTCTAGCGAACAGACAAAACAAAAGAAATTAGGGTTTGCGAGTAGTTGTATAGTTGGAATCAAGGAATGGTTGACTTATAACATTTTTTTTTTTTTTTAAGAATAGAAATTATTCCATTACGAAATTAAAAGTTATAAAAATGATGCATTTTTATGACTTTTTAAATATATTTGGCGGTTTATTTGAATAATTTATGATTAATGAATTAGTCAATATTTTGAAAATAAATAAATTGGAAATGATTAGATATTTAATTAATGGTAATAACCCATAAGCCTATTTGAATATACCGGAGCGTGCACGAAAGGGACCCACCTGGCAGCTGGCTTGGATAAATGAGAGCCGTTGATGAAGGTGATGGAGGAATCTTTGAAATTGGAGATGACGTGGATCCAGTGTCAGAAGATTGAAATTCCACCAAAGTATGGGGGATGGGGTTTCGGGTCCCACCTTCCTACTGCAATGAATCTCATCTCATCACACGTCAGCATGAATTCATATTTTCCAATTCCACGTGGTTAGGCATTATTAATAAATTATTATAAAATTTTAAATATATTTTTTATTATGAAGCCACGAAATTCAAATTCTTATTAATTGTTCTAATTAAGACGTAAACAATTTTTAATTTGTAATTAAGGAGTGGTATATGGAGATTAACTTTATGTTAATGTGAAGGGGCAAAGGTGTAGCTTCTGGGAATGTCAGAGAGCTTTTTAATTTAATTTTATTGTTGGTTGAAGGCTTTGATGAGAGAGTTTTAGCAAACCAAAAGTTGACTTTAAATTTAATAACAATATTGCATCATTTTCACGAACTTTGAACTCAAAACAATTATTGAATCATGGTGCCAAGTGGCAAATGCTTACACAATCAATCCAATTGCAAGTTCTCAAGAGATTTCTTGTCACGGTTATGCTTGTCCAAGACATGTTGCCCATGTCTGCATACCCGTTTTGTCATGGTTATGTTCAAGGCGTGTTGGCCATGGCTGCATACCCGTTGCATGCCAAAACCCTTGTGTTGTATCACTTTATTGCTTTATTTTATCGCTTTCATGATTTATAGTTTCATTTCAATGGTAGACTTAAAATGCCTCAGAATGTACTGTAGAGAGATGCGGTTAGTTATTAATTATTCCTATTCGAAGTTTTATGCTATCTAAGTTGTCATGTTGTCTTTTTTGCTTATAGACTCCAAGATTGCTTTCTTCATTTCTCTCAATCGTGCTATCTCTCTTTACCCTCGTTTTCTAAAACCTTCTTAAAGTGGAACCAGAGGCTTGGGTATACGTCATCAAACCAAAGGTGAACGGTTTCAAATTGGTTGACTCACTCAGTGGTGAGAGTGTGTAACAACTCAGGCCCACCACTAGAAGATATTGTTGATTTCAAGTTGGTTGACTCATTCAGTGGTGAGAGTGTGTAACAACCCGCTAGTAGATATTGTCTTCTTTAGACTTTTCCTTTTGGGGTTCCCCTCAAGGTTTTAAAAAGCATCGGTTAGGAGAAGGTTTCCACACCCTTATAAATGGTGGTTTGTTTTCCTCCCCAACTCACGTGGGACATCACAGAGCGAGTGTCACACAATCACTTACAAGTTCTATAATAGTGCGATTGTGACATTGATCACCTATATAGAATTTAATATCTTACGAGTTAAACAGACCTTATGATACCTAGAAGGATTGTACCAACGTGTAATATGATTCATAAAAATATACGACATTCTGAGCAAATAAGAGCATAACAAAGTTGAATACGGTACCATTAAGCGTCGTCTCTCTCGTCGTAAACTTGTCTATATGTACAATAAACAAGACTTAATCTGTAACCATGAAAAAAAAAGAGAGAGAAGCATCAGATTACTGAAGAGTGAGGTACCATTAAGCTACAGCAGCAATAACAACAGCATCCAGTTTTCCTCTATTGTTTTAAGCCCTTCGTCTCACTGGCTGGTAACAGGGACAACTTCGTTTGCAGGGATGGAATCAGCTGGAGGTACTTTCTTTGTAAGAAGCTTTGGTATGTTGAGATCGTCTAGTGATATTCGCTGCTGGGGGTGCGATAACAACAAGCACATGCAACGGTAAAGAACACGTGCAACTCCCTGGCCGCTCTCGAAAATATAGCCTTCATACTGGCTGACAAGATCAAGGGCATCAACTAAGGCATCGTAGACCTCCTGTGGGCAGTTGTCTGGTCCAGGCTTCTCATGGAGATAGATAACATCTAAAGTGAAGAGTTTTTGGTTCACAGGCCATTGATGTTGTGGTCGTGTTGATGATCTACAATATATAAGAATCTAAATGCAACAATGGTTATGAACATGATTTTTCAAGCATTCATTGGAACATACGGAGTTCTAATTTCAGAACAATGATATATTCTTTGAGCTGAATCGACAGATTACGAGTATTGGTATAATGAGCATACCACTCTTAGAATATGATTCTGAGCGGTCGACTTTCTAGCTTCATGAGCAGCTAATCGAAAAAGGCTGGTAAGATCGGCATGACTGCAGGAGGAAGTAGGAACAAGCCCCCTGATTGCAGCTTCTACAGATGCAATATCACTGCTAAAATCTTTTTTGAGCTACAATCATAAACATTTTGGATTAGAAGCAGACATTTCATCTAACAATAAAGCTATGATCAAAATTGGGCTCTCTTAAGCGGAAGCTCGATTGAAATCGGTTTAGAGGTTTAGCAACTTAGCTTGTCATAAGAGTGCAAGGGTAACAGTATATGCATAGCACAGAGAAAAGTCCTAAGCCTATAACCATTTTCCAGGCCGGTCTCCCGGTTTTACTACCAAAAAATGTTAGGAATCACGAACCTCCATAATGGTATGATATTGTCTACTTTGATTATATGCTCTCGTGGCTTTACTTTTGGTTTCCCCAAAAGGCCTCATACCAACAGAGATATATTCCTTACTTATAAATCCATGATCATCCCCTTAATTACAATGTGGGACTCCCTCCCAATAATCATCAACAATCTTCCTCCAAAGTACATCATAACGTCTCCCTTAAGACCTATGTAGCCCTCAAACAGTCTCCATTTATCAAGGCTCGGCTCCAGAAGTACACACTTTGTTCGACACTTGAGGATTCGATTAGTATGGCTGTTAAGAGCATGACTCTGATACCATGATAGGGATTGCAGACCTCTACAATGGTATGTTATTGTCAACTTTGAGCATAAGCTCTCATGACTCATATCAATGGAGATATATTCCTTACCTATAAACCCATCATCATCTCTTTAATTATAGCCAATGTGAGACTCCCTCCCAAGAATCCTCAACAGAAAAAGAAAGGATACATGGAGATATCATCTTCTCCCTTTCCTCCTTTAAAGACAATATCAAAACAACACCTCTGAGAAAGAGTAAACAAAGCAGAAAGGAAAATGTTCGAAGTACTACCTCTGCCTTCCCTTTCGAGAACATACCCATCTCCTTTTCCAATTCCAATAAAAACAAAGAGAAATACCATAAAGCTTCGTCTCTGATTTTGCCGGCCCCGGGGGACAGAGGGAAAAGGAGTGAGCTTCGCTTAATCTCATTTTCAGAGTCTCATTAAGCAGAATCCAAGGAAAGCAAAGAGACCGAGTTTACAGTTAAAGAAGAGAAGGCAGAGGGGAAGGAAGGAGCGGAATAGTGTCTATTTTGGGGGGTTTCCTGGACAAAATCCTAGAATCTGACTCCGATTCCTTATGAAAGACATTCAGTCCATCAGAATAGAAGTGAAAGAGGGTATTTATGCACGGTCGTGTCCTTTATATGGAAATCAGAGGCCAAGGGTTGACTCGTACCGATCAGAATCTGACCCAGTCCCGCCAAAAGATTACAATAGCAAGCCTTGACCCAAAGACAATCTGTCGCACAGTAAGAAAAGAAGCCGCCACCACAAGAGTTGGCAAAGCCCAATTGACCCATTTTGGCCGTATCCCCAAGTTCATTGCCTCAGTAGTTTTCCTACTCCAACTTCTCATATGCATCTTATCCCGCTTCCCAAAGAAATTGAGGCTTAAGACATTCCATATTCTTCAATTCAAAGTTGCAAATTGATTACTAGTTTGATCGGCAAGTTTATTGTTAGGAATCACGACTCTCCACAATAATATGATATTGTCCACTTTGAGCATAAGCTCTCGTAGCTTTGCTTTGAGCTTCCCTAAAAGGCCTCATACCAATGAAGATAGTATTCCTCACTTATAAACCCATGATCTTCCACTAAATTAAACGGAACTCACTCCCAATAATCCTTAATAATCCTTCCCTTGAACAAAGTACACTATAAGCCTCCCCCATGGCTTATGGAGCTCTCGAATAGCCTCCCCTTAATCGAGGCTCGACTCCTTTCTCTGGAGCCCTCAAACAAAGTACACCCTTTGTTCGACACTTTAGTCACTTTTGACTACACTTTCAAGGCTCACAATTCTCTGTTCGATATTTGAGGATTCCATTGACATGGCTAAGTTTAGGGCATAGCTCTGATACCATGTTAGGAATCACGACTCTCATAAATAAGGACCTAAGAGGATAATCAGTCATAAATAAGGACCTAAGAGGATAATCACATTCACACTATGCAAAGTCTTAAAGTTAGTATGAGTTGGATCAGAAGAAAAACTCAGATATAGTCTCCAACAGAATGCCAAGTACAACTCAAATTGCATAAGAATTTGAACTGCGAGTTTCCAACCAAAGAACAATCCATAATTTCTCCAGAACCACATTAAATCCTTGATCACTAGTTACAATTTCAGTTCACCAGTTTAGGTCAATAAGCATAACGATGCGCAAAATGCTAAAAACAAAAAGGCTGTCCGTGGAGTTAAAAAGACTGGAAGAATACGAAGAAATATATAACTCCCCTAAAATTAAAATTACCTTTAACCTAAAACAGACAGAAACCCTAGAAACTTCATCATCCCAATTCTAAATTTCTGGAAAATAGAAAGAACAGAAAGAAGAAAGCAAGATCAACAAGAAATAGGCGATGGATAGGGCATTACCCAAGTGGCAGATTTGGCGATGGTGGTGAAGGCAAATCGGTGGTCGGGATTCATGGAGAGTTTGGCGTGGACGAAGAGAAGAATTGCTTGCTTAATGGAGTCCATTCTGGTGATAGGTCGTCCATTAGAGCCGGTGGTTTTGATCTCGACGGAGGATTCGGGGTTCACATCTATGCAGAACAGAATGTCTTCGTTGTTAATTCTCGATGGCTTCAGTGAGTATCGGCTTCCTCCTCTCTCCCCTTCCATACCCTCCATGGTTCTCGCCGTCGCTCTCTGCAAATTGCAACACAGAAATGATGTCGTGTCGAGTTAATTATTTCAGACACTTAATTAAAATAATACAAATATATAAAATTTATTATTATTATAAGACTTTCACTAGTCTACGGCCCATTAAATATTGGTAATGAGCCCACGAAGTAGTGCCCACTTGCCTACAAATCGGGTCGGTTATCGGGTACCGATTAAACGGCCCATCCCTACTTGATTTTTGCTTTTGAAAATGGGAAAGGAAGGAAGAAACAAAAATGATGAAAACCTAGCCGCCTCACGCTTATCCTCCGTCTTCCCGCCTGATCCTCTTCTTCTTAATAGTTCAGTCGCTCCGCCGTGCTCTCCGTCGCCCTCGGTGCCGCTTCCGTCCCTCCTTTACTCTCGCCTATCCTACTGCGCTGTTCTGCATCATTTCGTTTTCGATCTTCTACTCTATTGGTTTTAGGTATTCTCTCTAGTCTCTATCTCCTGTCTTCGTCTTTCTAATTTCATCGTATCAAATGGATGAACGTCAAACTTAGAAGATTGGAAACGAACTATGTGGTTTGATTGAATATCAGTTTTTCCTGATCAAGGAGTTCGGGTTGGTTGTTGATTCTTACAAATGGAGACCACTATTTCGGTTTAGGAAAAGTTAAGTCGGAATCGAATCAATACTCATTAGCGATTGCCTCTTTTACCTTTTCTGCTGGCAATCCGTAGAATTTTCTTTGTGTATTGTAATGATTTTTGTTAGAGTTGAGTGATAATCGAGCTCTGTGGAATAGAATAGAGAATGTTCTTCTCGTTAACTGAATGCTTTAACTGAATAGCAGTGGTCTGTGGATAAGTCTTAAGATTGTGTAATTTTTTGTGCAGCTGATCGATCATATTATACAAATGCCTAAGAAGAAGTCTTCTAAAGCGCCTAAAGAGGTGAAAGAGAAGGTCATCACAAAGGAGGAAAAATCCAATGCTGTGGTAAAAAATGAAAAGCCCAATTCTTCCATAAAGGAGGAAAAGCCCCCTTCAGTAAAGAAACGCAGTGAAATCGATGAAATTTTCGCTGGGAAGAAGAGAAAAAAACCGGAAGTTCAAGAGGCTAAGAAACCAAAACTAGATGCATTGGACAGACCGATGAAGCTGAAGAACAAGAAAAGGGATGAGACTCAGCCTAGAAATGACTTTGTAGACCCACCATCACAGGGTAGAAAGAAAACAGGGGATGGACTAAAGATTTACACAGAAGAGGAATTGGGTATTGGCAGTGCAGACGCAGGAGGCACCCCGCTTTGCCCATTTGACTGTTCTTGTTGCTTCTAAACGTCTGTGTTCAAATCCTTTTTTTCTTCTTCCTTCTTTTGAAGATGTTGCTTATCTGGTAAACTTCTGTAACATCTTCAAATTCTATAATTTAGATTTTGCAATTTTGAAGATGGCTGAAGCAGTTTATTTCTTTCCATGTGGCTGGTGGTGGGTCTTATCTGCTATAGCATCAGTTTTGTAGGATATGCCTTAAGATCATAAATTATGAATTGCATATAGAAAATATGTTATCTTGGGCGGTGGTGCAACAGTCCATTGCTAGCAAAACTCTTCAAAGGCTTCCACACAAGGTCTCTCCTACTGGATGTGGTCTGCCCAAAATTCTTTAGCTCATTAGGTATGTCATATGGGAAAGAGAGGTTTCTACACCAGTTTCATTCTACTCCAATCTATGTGGGATGGCTGATTCTTTTTATTTGTATACTCATACATGTTATTACAATAGATTCATATGTTTACAAATGCATGTTACTAACTTATTATGAATTGCTTGTCAAGGCATTTACAATTGTATAGATTGCTTGGACCTTGTGGTGTTATCAAAGCTGTGAAGACTAAGATTCAAATACTGGGGAGATAGCTTGAAATTCTTAAGCTCACAGAATTTTGGGTGTTGATTTTATTATCATTTTTGTCAATAAATTGTCATTTCAATTTTAATCATAATATGTATTTAGTAGACGTTATTTCAGTCCCTCGTGTCTTATGGCTTCAGGAAATATTTAACCTGGCGCTCAATATTATGCGACGGGCATTCTTAAAAGTAGCCCGAAGAGTTTGGGTGATAGTCTAAAATGTGTTCAGGATGATCTTCTGGGCTTCATTCATCGTCATTCACAATATCTGAATTGCAAGGCATTAGCTCCCATGAGTCCTCTATAATTAAAATTTCTCTATAATAGGAAAAAACTTTGTTGCAAATTCATGCTCATTAAAAGTTTGGGTGTTCAATCGAGATCGTTCTGTGGACAACAGAAATACCAAAATTTTTGAAGTTTCTAAAGAGATTGAAGGATGATATTGAATTGCAAAATTTTGATAGCAAAATCGTTTCAGTGAAAGAAAAAACCATTTCACTAACTTGGATGAATTACGAAAAACGTTTGGGTGTGAATTAGGAATGATTCTAAGAAAAATGTGGAATAAATCCAAAATTTAGCTGCTTTAAATTTGAAGGAAGCCATGAAGAATAATCACTTCCCCCAATCGTGTTCAGTAGCTCTTTATAGGCACCGTGCAAAAGGTTGTTTGTTGTAAGATAAAAGAACAAACACCCGTGTCTGACTTGAGTGCCAATTCAAAATAAATTTTCTTCCATAACCTCAAAAACAAATTCATCAATCGAATCAATCGATTACTTTAAAAATCTTTTGAAATATGCAGATGAAGAGGTTAGAGTACGCAAGGAAAATGTAGACCGGGCATTGTATCTTGAAACAACTGATGCGTTTCAAGGATCTTCTTCCGGTAACCAAGTATCGGCTCCATGCGGCAGACGGATCGCCACCAAAAAGGCGCCTGCTGCTGACTCGATGATGGAGCCAAGTCCAGATAAACCTATTTCATCGAAATCTAAAGCGAATTAAACTGAAAATGATTCAAGATCTCAAGAACTCAAGAACTCAATGATCTTTGTCAAACAAAAACGATGAAAATTGAAAGAAGAAAGAAGAATGTAAATCGGTAACAATAAGAACACAGAAATGGCCAGAAATCAGAGTCGTCGAAGAAGAAGAAGATATCTCCAAAGCTGCGATTCAGCAGAAATTTATAGAGCAGATTCGTAAAACCCTAATTTCTGGTTAAGAAATTACCGAAAAAACCGGAGATCTTTGATCGTAGAGGAAAGCCCACTGGATGAGGCCCAAAGTAATTGGTTTGGGCTTTAATATTCCCGACCCATATAGGTGCGACATGTCGTTTTGATGTACCGCCAATAGAGTGCCACGTCAACAGCGACCGAGATGCAAATTGTTATTTCTAATTTTCGTGTAGATTTCGGAGGTTCTGAATCGTGAATCGTGGCAATGGCCGCTGTGAGCCGAGCTTCCACTCGCATCCCCCATCTGCTTGCCGCGCGGGGAGCTTTGTCTCTTCATACTACAGCTCCGGTTTTGTCTTCTTCATCGTCCGCCTCGCCGACGCCGTATGCGAGTCCGTCGCCTCCTTCGACCTTGTCCCCAACGGGGCTTCCGAAGGCGGCGGAGTATGTGATCTCCAAGGTCGACGACCTCCTGAACTGGGCTCGCCGTGGCTCTATCTGGCCCATGACCTTTGGTCTTGCTTGTTGCGCCGTTGAAATGATGCATACTGGTGCTGCCCGCTATGACCTTGATCGCTTCGGTGTCATCTTCCGTCCTAGCCCTAGGCAATCTGATTGTATGATTGTTGCCGGTACCCTCACCAACAAGATGGCTCCAGCTCTTCGCAAGTTAGTTCACTCTCTCTTTCACTTTCTGTTATTCTCCACGGACATTTGTGAGCTCTACGATTATCGTTTATTGCTGGAATTCATGAACCTGACTGGATAACAAATTGAATTAGTAGATTCACGGAAAACTTCATATTGAGATCAAATCTTCGAATTGTTTGATTTTTCAATTTCTAGAGTTGGCTTTTTTGTCAATTGTTCCCGACTTGTAGGCTGTAGTATGCACATATTTTGCTCATCTAAATTTATGAAGATATTATTCCCGTCTGAGTATATTTATCTTTCCTGACAATGGTCTGATAACTAAAAGGTAAAAGGTTTTGGGTTTAACTTCAGAACTTTAATTGGCTTATACTGGTAAATTATCTGCTGTATTTTCTTATTTCTTAGGTTAAATGAATTTCGGATAGATGCAGTGATTGTCTTGAATACGATGTTTCAGCCTCTATGTCGATAGATTTTAAGGGTAGTTTCTACTCTTGATTGTGAGAAAAGGGTTGATTACTTCTGATACGTTGGATGGACTGAGCTTTTGTAATGTAAATTGGGGGAACTATCTCTATGATTCATTTTGTTTACCTGCATTCATGTTATATGTTTTCATGAATTTTTTCTCGTCACATATGACCTCCATGGCTTACAAGGAAATTTATCAAGTAATCATCAAGCTAGTTTTTGGACGAAGTTTTTTCACTTCATCATCCTGGCATGATTTGTGAAAAAATGCTGTTTAGGTTGAGTAATCATGAATTTGAAATGCTATTTTGTTCACAATAAGGAAGTCGTCACATATAAAAAAAAAAAAATGCTATTTCCTTTGCTTTTAAGATGTCCCTACTCCTTATTTTGTTCGTCTGAATTTGAAATGTGCATTATAAAGTAAAGACTTCCTCATGCTGAAATAAGTCACAAACTGTGCTGTGGTGTCTTCCCTTCACAGAAATGGCTGGAGTCATTTCACATAAGTAGCCAAGTCCTTGATAAGGTCAAATGGAAAAAAAATTCTTTGTGATTCTCTTCCAATCTTAGTTCTGGTTTTTATTCATGCTGTTTATATCCTTGAAAGCCTCAAACTAGTTACCTTTTCCACTGTACAACTTTTGTTTTTGAAATTGTGTTTCATCTCTTATCATATTTTGTTATATTATTTTAGTACTTTTTATCGGAGTCCATATAGTTATATGACGAGGATTTAAGTGGTGCTTGTGCTAGCCTAGAGTATGTTGGAGATGAAAGTCAGTAGGTTTAGTAGCATTATATGTAACAGCTCAAGCCCACCGCTAGCCGATACTGTCCTCTTTGGGCTGTCCCCTCAAATTTTAAAAATGCGTCTACTAGGGAGAGGTTTGTACACCCTTATAAAGAATGTTTCGTTCTCCTCCTCAACCTATATAGGATCTCACAATCCACCCCACTTCAGGGCCCACGTCCTTGCTGGCACTCGTTCTCTTTTCCAATGGATGTGGGAGCCCTCAATCCCCACCCCTTCGGGGCCCAGCTCCTTACTAGTACACTGCCTCGTGACCCCCCTTTGAGGCTCAGCCTCCTCGTTGGCACATCGTCCGGTATCTGACTCTGATACCATTTGTAATAGCCTAAGCACACCACGAGCAGATATTGTCCTCTTTGATATAAGCAGCTGCATGTCTGTAGATTAAGAAGTTATTGCTTTATTGGGGGAAGATAGATCTCTGTGGGTTGACTGAGTGGTCAATAAGGTAAATGTAAACAATATAGGACTTAGAAGAAATGAGTCCAAGTTATGGTCGCCACATACCTACGATTTAATATCTGATGAGTTTCCTTGCCAACGAAACTTAATAGGGTCATATAATTGGCTCATTATAATGGTCAAGGCGTGCCCAAGTTGGCCTGGACAATGAGGAAATTTATAAAAAACAATTGAATGTTAAAAGTAGCTTGCATAAGGCTACCATGCATGAAAATCTGGTTCATTGAGGAAAATGAAGCTAAAGTCTACATGAATACACCAATTTTGGTACCATACCTCGTGTTAGAGTTCTTATTGTTTAATCTTGATGCGTAAAATTGTAGTTCTAATATGATCAAGGGATTACTAAATTCTATACGTGTGAATTTTCTTAAAGAAAAAAATAAGAATATCAGAATACTAGTCTATCGCAATGATATGCAAAGTTGTTGGAACTTTTGATCTCATTTATATGGCGCTATTTCTTGTTTGCAGTAGATAAGGAAATGCTTTATTCTGAATGAAATAAGGTAGGTGTATTTTCTGCTTCAAAATCTGTATACCTATAAGATGGTTGCAGCGGCCAGTGAGGCTGCTGTTTTAGAATATTAAGCTATTGCCCAAAAATATTTCATCCAATGGGATATTGGTGCATGAATTTGAAAAGTGCAATATATACTAAACTCCAAATAAATCTTGAAGTGTGTATGTGGGAAGTGAGTTTCAATGACTTGATTGACTCATTCAGGAAATATCAAAATTGATACTATCGAATCAAAACAGAACATGTTTTGTTTTCAATTGCTTCAAACTCCTGATAGTTTATTTTAGGGAAAGGAATGTGTCCATCACTCCCATGTGGTAGGGGCATACTGAATTGGAATACAACACTTGCCTTTAACGTATTTTCAATGTGTAAAGAGTTCCAAGAGTCTCATTAATGCTTGGCCTGAATGTTGCATACCTTCATTTTTCAAGCTTGAAACTCAAACTTCCTGTTGGCAGTTAGTGAACCGTTGTCTGTTGTTTGATCTTAGAATGTTACTTTTGTCTAGTCCCAATCTTCTCTAAGTTTAGGGAAGTCCTTCCGCTCCTGTCGATGGTCAAACATTACAAGCAACCCGAAAAACAACCGGAGAATGTCAACTCAGTCCATGGTGAACAGAGAGAGCAGAGAGAGTAACTTATCTTAATTTTCTAGGATTAACGATGTCTTGACATATGATATTAAAAAGGGAGGTGCTTTCTAAGCAGTATAACGATGAACTATCTGCACTCTTCAGTCTGAATTTGAAAGGAGTGTTCATCATAGAATATAACAAAGTTTGGGGGTAAAAAGATCTCAAATATTCTACGTTTCTATACGTACACAGAATTCAGGTTACAAATAAGAATGATGAGAATTACTGCGAGTCCATCTTGGTTCCGACAGTTCTTTTATGGCA